AAAAGTAAATAAAGAATAAATGCAAGTGGAAATATCAAATAAATTAAATTTTGCACTCAAATAGTTGCAAATAATTTCGTTTTTGAACTTATCTTTTGCACACTTTCGGTTACTCAGTAGCCCGCAGCTGTACGTACACCCCACGGCTTTATAATACACTTTTGGTCAATTCCTCAGGTGTACGTACACCGCATGCAGCTGCTGCAGTGCATGCATGCACTGGCGAGCTGGAGCCCAGATGTGTCTTTGACTCTCATTTCGAGTTTATTTTTTCGCATTTGCGCAAATATAATTTCAATTTTTAATTTTAATTTAATTTTGCTTTTTAAAAACGCGCATTTGCCGTTTCCAGACGCAGATCTGGAAGGAGGTCCCGCGGGGGGGGTCCAGTGCGGCGCGCTCGCTATAATGCAATAAAGCCCCTTTTTTGCTGTTTTTGCTCGAAAATACATTTAAATTAGTTTAAAAATACTTTTAAATTGTAAAAAGCAACTAAAATAACTCCTGTTGCAGTGATAATTCAATAAACAAACGCAGAAGGAGGCGAAAGTGGTTGCATGCGCGACGGTGGCCAGCGCTTGAGGTGTACGTACACCTCGCCTTTTTGCAATTTCGGAAAAACTCCAAAAAGCTTCTTTTCAGATTTGTTTTTTGCATTTAAAAAGAACTTTTATGTTTATTTATTCTTTTGCAACAAATAATTTTGATTAAAAACGAAAAAGCGCAAATGCTGGACTTCAAAACTCCAAATTTGCTGCTCATTCGCCTCTCTCCACTCCTTTACTTGTCTATTTATTTATTATTATTTATTGTTCATCATTTATTATTTATTATTTAGTCTTTATTATTTATTATTTATTATTTATTATTCATTACTTATTATTTATTATTTACTATTTAGACTTTCTTTATTATTTATTATTTATTATTCATCATTTATTATCTATTATTTAGACTTTATTCTTTATTGTTTATTATTTATTATTCATCATTTATTACTGATTATTTAGACTTTATTCTTTATTGTTTATTTTTTATTATTCATCATTTATTATTTATTGTTTAGTCTTTATTCTTTATTATTTTTTGTTTATTATTATTACTTATTATTCATTATCTATTATCTAGTCTTTATTATTTATTATTTATCATTTGTTATTTATTACTTATTATTTATTACTTACTATTTAGTCTTTATTATTTATTATTTATTATTTATTACTTATTATGTATTATTTATTATTAGTTATTTTGTCCCTATTATTTATTATTTATTATTTATTATTTATTATTTATTATTTATTATTTATTATTTATTATTTATTATTTATTATTTATTATTTATTGTTTATTGTTTATTATTTATTTCCTTTACATATTTTTGTTCACTTTTATCACAGGAAATGCTTGTGCTGTTCACATTTATGTTTGCATTTGCATTTACATTTAATTTAAGCTATAATTATATTTATTTTTTAATTATATTTAAATTATAATTATATTTAAATTATAATTATATTTAAATTTAATTATATTTGAATTTTAATTATGTTTAAATGGCATTTATAATTGGAATTATATTACATTTAAATTCGCAATTATATTTAATTCAAAACTGCTGCACTAAAAGTGGAGAATAACAAACACCAAAACAACATGTGTTCATATTTTTAAAAGTTTCAGATTCCCTATAGATCAGGGTTTAGGGTTTAGGGTTTAGGGTTTGGGGTTTAGGGTTTAGGGTTTGGGGTTTAGGGTTTAGGGCCCGCTGAAGTGGCTCAGCAACTGATTGAAGTTGAACAGCTAGTGCGGAAGCTGTGGAACGGAAACGTTTAGGGTTTAGGGTTTAGGGTTTAGGGTTTAGGGTTTAGGGTTTAGTGTTAGGGTTTAGGGTTTAGGTCTGCGCGGTGCTCCCACACAGTAGATATATTATTATTATCTGCGTAGCGCTTCCCTCCCCTGCCCCATTAAACCCCTAAACCCTAAACCCTAAACCCTAACCGTAAACCCTAAACCCTAACATTAAACCCTAAACCCTAACACTAAACCCTAAACCCTAACAGTAAACCCTAAACCCTAGACCCCAGACTCGAAGCTATGACATAACCAGTGGGGAAAAAGGAATGAAGTTTGAAAATGAAAAGTTTAAAAAGGAGAATAAAATAAATATTTTAAATTCAAAACCCTAATTGAATTCAAAACCCTAATTGAATTTTAAATTCAAAACCCTAATTGAAATAAATATTTAAAATGCAAAACCCTAATTCTTCGGGTGTCTGTACTCCTCGTGAAAACACAAAAGACTTTCTGCTGCTGCAGCAGAGACTCTGCAGTGTACGTACAGCTGCTGCGGCTGTTGTTCTGCGCTGCTGCTGCTGCTGCTGCTGCTGCTGCTGCTGCTGCTGCTGCTGCTGCTGCTGCTGTCGGCCTATGTAAGCGCTGCAGCAGCAGCAAGGGTTTCGCCAAATTGTTTGCGTTTTAGTCAAATGAGTTTTATTTGCTGTTTTGAATTTAAAGGAGAGGATAGATGCATTGTTTTCGCGGGCAAACCCGCAGCAGCGAGCGCTGCTGCTGCTGCTGCTGCTGCTGCTGCTGCTGCTGCTGCTGCTGCTGGGGGGCGGCAGCAGCACGGGGTGTGGGGCCCCTGCGCCGGCAGCAGCAGCAAAAAAGGAATTAAATGAATTTATAATTTAAATTAAAAACAATGAATTAATGTGTATGTCGGAAGCAGCAAGGCTGCAGCGCGAGACGGCACCGCAGCCGAGACGCACTGGAGCAGCAGCAGCAGCAGCAGCAGCAGCAGCTGCTGCTGCTGCTGCTGCTGGTGCTGCTGCTGCTGCTGTTACTGCTGTCTAGCTACATATTTCCCTTAGTTGCTTCAGCTCTTCTTAAGGAGAGACTCTGGCTAGTCTCTCTAATCTGTGGTGCTTGCGCAATCCCTTTCTGCTGCTGCTGATGGTGCAGCAGCAGCAGCAGCAGCGCAGCAGCAGCAGCAGCAGCAGCAGCAGCAGCAGCAGCAGCAGGTGGCTGTCTAGCCTATCTCGCGAGCGAGCGCGTCCTCTCGCCCTCTCCCGCCGCCGCCGCAGCAGCCCCGCCGCCCCCGCCCCCGCAGCACCCGCAGCAGCAGCAGCAGCAGCAGCAGCAGCAGCAGCAGCAGCAGCAGCAGGAGGAGGGGGAGGAGATGGACGGTTTGCTGCTGCTGCAGCAGCTGCAGCAGGAAGTGAGCGCGGTGATGCACATGGCTGCTTCCGTGCACTTCAACTCGCCGCTGAAGGCCAACTACAGCAGCAACGTGGAAGGGACTTTGCGGCTGCTGCAGTTTTGCTGCTGCTGCTGCCAGCTGCAGGTTTTGCTGCACACTTCCACCTGCTACGTCAACAGCGACTTGACTGGCAGAGTCAAGGAGGGTTTTGTTGCACTTCCCTGGGACCCGCAAACCCTCCACCTCGCCGTCCGCAGGTTCATCGATCTCGCCGACCAGGCAGGGTTTAGGGTTTAGGGTTTAGGGTTTAGGGTTTGGGGTTGGGGTTGGGGGGGGGTGGGGG